ATAAGCAGAGAAAATAACTTAAAGACAGGCTCTCGCGCGCCAAGAAATAAAAACCCAACTATAAGCATGCCGCTGTCCTTGCATGCTTTATAGCCCCTTCTCCCCGCAATATTCGATCAGCCACGTGGTCAGCAAGAGTAACAGGTATGTCAGGTAATTAAATTTGGCTACTGTGCGCATGCGTATGAGTAGCAGATATCGGGCGACGCGTGTGTGGGTCAGTGTACTATGTTAATAATTAACTTTTATTGAAAGTTTGATATTTTTCTCATGTATTAATACATAATAACATTTATCTTATTTGTACAGCTATTTGGGTGGGGGCGCTAACGTAGATCTTAAACTTGAACTTATACTAACCATACAAATTACTATTTACATGTTACGTTACTTGTTTACATTACTTATAATCTAAACTTATTTACTTACAAACTCAACGTACATCATAAGCTACTTATTTACAATATTAATACGAACTTGCACTTGCAATCTAAACTTACAGACTAAAGGCCCATTCACAATGCAAACGTAAACATAAGCATGGCGTTGACATAAAAGTTAGGACTTCGTCCATGAGCGGACTCATTTACGATGCATTCGCATAAGCATAACACGTAAGACGTTAACTTGTAAGCTTGCGAGCTTCTGTGCTTATGCTTAGGGAAGACATGAACCAAACACAGAAAGGTAACTCAAAATCGAGAATCGAAATTGGAGCGAAGTCGATAGAAGAATTAACGCCACATGGGACAGAGTCGATATCTTGAAATCGATTTTCATACCCAACCAGAACATCTCACAGCCAATAGGAACTTATTTTGCTTATGTTTATGTTAGGCATTGTGAATACTTCAGTCTATCGCTTATGTTAATATTTATGCTCTATGCTTATGTTTACGTTTGCATTGTAAATGGGCCTTAACACTGAGGTCACTAGAGAGTACGTACAAGACGCCACTAAAGCGAATGTACAAGAATCTACATGATAGAATACGACTCTTATAGTTATTTTAGAGATACGGTGTCTTGCCTTTCTAATTCGTTTTTGAATGTTGTAGCTCATTAAAAATCCTTCTCCTTTAGTAATTGACACATCTCCAGTCATCATTTTGAAAGTAGATGTTTTACCAGCCCCGTTCGCTCCAAGCAATCCAAAGATCTCTCCTTTTTCTACCGCAATGTAGATGTTATTTACTGCCCGAAAATCTCTAAAATATTTCGTTACACCTCTGTGAACATTAAAGAAAATTATTTTGAGATGTTTCGTACCTCATTTGCATAGTAAATGCCACAATAATATTATGTGAAATCGATATCATCGATAACACTTTTATCTCAGTGGTTGAGTGAAGAAAAATCTAAATCTCGGCAATGAAATAACAATTCCGTCCACGTAATTGGAGCTTCGTACAACTGAAAAGAAATATATTCATTGATTACAATCCCAGCGTTTGCTCTTAAAACTCAAAATAAAAATTCAGTTAGGAGATATTCGGATAATTCAAGCGTCGAATAATAGAGGGTAGAATGAAAGAATTTATAAATTTAAAAAGGTCTACATTCTGTAGAAACACTTTCAACGGGTTAATTTAATGAATCCCAATGGATCAAATTGCTAACGAAAAGCAAGTTACACGTTTCTTAACTATCTGTCCTTTTAAAAGCTTGTTAAAAACATTTGAGTAACTAACCATATCGAGTGTTTTATGTACGAGTTTATATATATAAGTTGAAGAAGTTACCTTAATACAACACTGTACTCTTTAAGCTGTGTTTCACTAAGAGAACTAACTTTCTGTTTCTCTATTAATACATCTTCATCTTCCTCCAACATTTCTTCGTCATGCTTTTGTTTCTTGTAAACCAAAGCAATTCCCACTGAAACATATTTAATAATTATTAATGATCTTTAAGGAATAATGCCATTGAGAACATTAATGATGTCGCTAAAAATTTACTCCCTTTGTAGATTTTGTTTCGGTTTCCAAATAAATGTCTAATCTCTGATTCAGGTATAACACACAGTGGAAGCCAGGGACCTATGTCGGCAGATTTTTTATCCGCCCTGACTTCATCATGAAAATAAATTATTTTGACCAGACCTAAAAAAGTAAAAAAAAACCGCATCGGACAAAACATGTCCCAGGAAAGAAATGAATATCTCCAAGGGGGATGGATATCAGAAAGATCTTTACCAACGATTGAAAGTAATTTCAATTTGATAAATTAATTTTCAGTTGGACGAAAACTATGTCAGACAATGTTCTGACTATGAAGACTACGGACGTGTTTTAGATTTAGATTTATTTAGTCACAAAACCAGTAAACACTGTGTGACGTATGGGGGAGAAAATCATTTGCGCACGTTTTCTTGAGTTCCAGAATCCGTTCCCATCATTTTAACTATAAATAGTTGACGATGAGTAAAAGTCTTTGTTCTTCTTCGGCTTTTTCTCCTTAAGAGCTTGCCGTTTTCACCCTCCACAACCCTCAGTCCTCCCAATCCCTAAGTAAAAGTTAAAGATAAATAAATAAAGATAAACTTTTAAAATGCACGAGATTACAATATTTGAAAAAACTAGACATTTTTGTTCACGAGTTATAGAAAACTTATTTGAATCGGTAAACGAACTGAAGATATAATTTTTCTGCATTGCTAACAAAATAGAAAATCGCCCTTACCTCTACTCCTAACATTGCAAGCAAAAGGAGAGTTCAACCAAAAGTGTAAGACAGGGACCATCTCAGTATTTGATCAATGGTGACGACACTGCCTCAAGTAAATATTTCGTTGATGAATCTTTACGAGATTACAAAAATAATTCAAGATTCAACATAACATGTATATGCACCGTTCTCAAAAGATTAAACACATTTTATTTTACTATTTTATATACAGTGAACGCTGCTTAGTATTATCATTGCGGGCCAACGGATCGGTAACAATAAAAATTCTGTCACATTAAATAATCAAAGTAGTTCCCAATTTTAGTTTTACATATGACTCAGGTTTTCTCTGAGGATTCCATTTATGTAAATCTGTTTATCCGAAAATAAACGGACCTGTGCTGAATTCCCCGCTACAATACGTCTAATGCTTGCCCGATTTCTACCGAGGAGGCTGAGACGTTTTTACATATTAAGTTGTCTTCTGTCTGTCCAGCAGATATAGTTAAGTTTTCATCTACAGCTACGCATTCTCGAAAATTGTATTTGGTGGTAAATTGCACAGATTTCCTTCACCAGAACAGCAAACATAAACTTGCTTGGATTTTTGCGTGACGCAGCCTGTGAGATCTCATAACAGTGCGTAATTCAAATGTTTCAAAATAATCTAATGCTGATCACAATAATCACACATTTTCTTAATGTTGTACTATCCATTCGGATATAACAATATAAGAAACATAACATTATCCTTGATAAATGTAAGTGCTGTGGTGACCTGTGTCACGAACACATCATTCGTCTACGAGAACACAAGCCAGAGAATTCAAGAGCGTACGAGAAGCCGATCTAAGAGTAGGCAATATGATAAGAGAAGGAAACTTGACTCGAGCGGTGTAGCCTCCGTCAACCAGAAGCGAATATGCCCAACCTTTGTAAGAGCCGTTCGTTGTGAGTACACTGTGATAGAGAAAGA